AGATATGAATTCCAAGATGTTCCTGCCTCAGTCTAGATAGAAGTTTTATTTCCTTGTATAGGAGTGGTTTAACCTAGTTATTCCAACTTGGTTGTGCTATAAAGGCGACCCAGTTAAGAACACCCTATCCGAAGTCCCAGTCATAGCTTTTAATAAGGGACGCACGAGCAATTTTTCCACGAAATTTCTTTAAGATATCTTTTGGCCCTTGCCATCCGTGACTATAATAGTTTTAAGTAAATATTTAGGTTAAATTATAAGTTACTTAGTTAAGTATCATTTAAAGTAAATTTTCACTTCCTCCAATAGCTTAGCATTTGGTTAGATAATTTCTATTTCAAATCAGTATAATCATAAAAGCATTATAATTACATTAAGTAATAATTTATTATGTCAGCCGAAGAAATTAAATATAATAGCTTGTATATAAGGCTTGAATAGGAAAACATATGAAAAGTTTCAGTGGCATACAACTAGGCAAAAGGCCAGTAGATAGAAGATTTAATTGGTTGTACTAAGCTTTCGTTGTTTTAACATTCTAAATAGTTGCTTGAATAGAAAACCCAAACTAATGTTACAAAAACATAATTGTAAATAACTATTCTTAAATGCACTCATTTATATAATAGAGGAGTAATCTAAGCAACATTCCCTAACTTAATAAATATTATTTAATGTATAATTATTTATGCAATCTTATAACCAAATAATTCGAGCTTCTTCTAATAGCGATTAATCACGTATTTTGAAAATATACGACAATATATTATTACCACCCTTAATAATTGAATTCACATTTTGAAATGTTTTAATATTGAGTTTATTAAAGTTTGCTTTTCTTAGCTCCCAATAAGTGAATTCTGCAGCTAGTTCCTCTTATAAACAAGACACATGCATGTTGTATTCAGCAGCATTTCTTAACTTTAGACTTTCTTGTTTATAATTGCACTGTAATAAAAAAGGAATTATATGCATATTTTTTATGTATGAATAATCCATAATATTTACAGGATATTATTTTTACTCTAGATTGCTTCTTCATTCCATTATTAAATTTTTTGGTTTAATTTCTTATATTTCATACAGGAAATGATCATTAAGGCAAGAAATTTGGCCACGAAATTACTACCGCTTCTTTCTCTATAAGGATCTTTTTACTATTGAATATTCTGAAAGCAATATATAATGTCTACAACGGAAGGATCAGTTTACGTTCTAAAGGCTGGTGAGGATACGGAATTCGATAGATCGGTTAAGCAACATCTCTCTGTATTGAGCATTCGAATAATCCTTCTCATCCTAGTCTTGCTCATTTCATTAGCGGAAAACCTAGTAATGATTCTTCTAACCCTTGGTCCTATGCATCGTTGGTTCCGGCGTCGCACAAACAAGAAACGCTTTTTGCAGCCAGGCACATACAGCAATTTATACAGTCAACCAACACTAGAGGTGACTGCTCTGCTGCCAGATGACTCCAACGAAGCATTTCCGTTTAGTAGAAACTCCCCTGATCTCTGTCGACCCGAAAAAGATGAAGAAACAACGAAGTTTTGCAACAACAAGCACTCTAATATCCGAACAATATTTCCCCTCTCTAACCAGGAAATGTCCAGCCGTTGGGTTAGGCTGCCATTTCAGAGAATTCAACAGGAGTTAACAGAAAATGCTGAACGAGAATCTTCTCATAGGAATCTTTCGAATGAAGCCCAAACAATAACCTATTCTTCGAAAAAAGACTTATATATGGAGCCTAGATTGGACCATTCTCTTGGCAATTCGTTGATCACACAGTCAAATGATACCTTTGCTATAGTGGCTCCCCCTCAGCGTCAATCAATAAAGCGCCTAAATACTCTTGACTCACCCATGCCACTAACTCCTGACAGCCATAAACAGACTGCTATGCAACCCAATAAAAAGAAAGACCATAAAGGCTTTTTCCGAATGCCGCAGGAATTTTTCGAAATGTCCACATGTGATGGATGTTGGAAGACGACTGGACGCTCTACCCGGTATTATTTTGGCAATTTGTGCTTCGCAAATTTTCTCCTGGCAGCACTGGCAATGCCATACACAGTTGCCGTTTGCCTTGGCTCTCAATCTTCAAAATCTATGACAAAAACTGCATCTGGTATCGGAGAAGTGGTAAATCGAAGCTCAACTGGTGGAGCTAGAGGTTATAGTCGTAACTTTGTACACCCAGACCATTCTCTTCTGCCTGAGCCTCTGTGGCTAGACTATACAAGATGCAGTATGATTGAAACCATCGTGAGTGGACTTACAATGGCTATGATCGTTTGCCTCGTTCAACTGACGGCAGACAGACTCTTCGCCGTATGTCGCCCATTGCACTATGCTAGAGCAATGACCCGGCGTCGCAGCGTGATTAATATATTGGCTGGATGGTTAGCTTGCTTTATTTTTTCCGGAATTCCTCACCTTTGGGCCCTTCTAGTACCCACCAGCGACATCCACGAAGCTACTTCAGTCACATCTGATGTGTTTCAGTGCTTTATCCTGGGACAGCATGCCGACGGTGGACATCGTTACTACGTAATTGCCTACTTCATCATAGTGTATACCTTGCCAGTAATTTTCATCACCACTGCATATTTCAAGATGTATCTGATGGCTCGTCGCCTTGCTCGCCAATTTCATTTTTCACAGGTTACTTCCCCTCAACCTATCATACCTCCTGATAGGCATTTTTCTGATCCCTTCAAAGAAAGCCTTGTGAAAGCTGAGAAAAAGACTAACCTTGATATTTCCAGGTATATTAATAAACGGCTTTGGCGAATATATTTTGGTAGCAGTAATGGAATCAGCCACAGACAGGCAAATCAAGTTGGTCTTAATAAGAGGCAGACTAAACAGATGGCAGAGACCAAAGCAGCCAAAACAGCTTTCTGTCTGGTTGCAACCTTTATTGCATTAACCTTCCCCTATTTCATCTTCATAATTTATACAGCTATTATCACGAAAGAGAAACACAATCCAGAACTAAGGATTTCGAAACTTCCTCTGTTGCCGTCGATTCCTTACAC